GAGATGGGGTTTCACCCTTCCTCAGGCTGGTCTTAAACTCCTCCTGGCCTTAAGCAATCCTCCTGTCTTGGCCTCCCCAAGTGCTAGGATTATAAGCGTGAGCCCCTGTGCCTGGCCTAGAATAATCTTATTACATGGGTTTTCCATCCTTAGGAGAAGTAAAGATTAAATTATTTTGGAAGGAATCTTTGTGATAGTCATTACATCAGGAAATGTTAGGTCTTAATTTATTTGTGTTTTTTATAAAAAAAGTTAAAAGGAAATTATCTCCTTTTTTATATTATTATAATATATATTATATATTATTTATATTATTATATTATCTCCCTTTTTTATATTATTATCTCCTTTATTATATCTCCTTAAGGAGATTATTGAACTGAGCTTAAGTGTTTTTCATTTGTAAAAGGAGGATCTTAGTTATGGGATTAAATGTTTATGAAAACTACTGGAAACCACATGGTGTGTCAGGCTGAGCAGGCATTGCTTCCTGCATGTGGCCCTAGGGAGTCATCCATAGAGTGCTTTTACATCTATAAGGGGAGGTGTCTCACTACTTCTGGAACTGTATAGTTCATACCTTTGCTGTTACTTGAGACCAGTGCAGGACATGGTGATGAAACCACTAACAACTGAATTTCAATTTGTGTTTTGTTGAACAAATGTTATTGGACTCTACCTAAAGTTGGATAGAATTATAGTATTTGGTTATGGACCAAACACGAAACCATGTCTTTTGAGGAATGTTCTTTAAAATCTGCTGAGTTCGGAAAAGAAAATTAATTTCAGGAATTAAAACAATGTGAAATATAAATTTCAGTTTATCTGTATTTGAGTATTTGTATTTATCTGTATTTGAGTGAATAAGCAGCTATATTGTTTGGGGATCCAATGGAAATATTTTTTTTTAAATGAATTTCAAACTTAGAGAAATGTGCATATATAATATAAAGAACCTTTTTTCCTGGAATAATTTGAGAATGAATTGCCGACATTATGCCCCATTATTCCCAAATATATTTTCTTTTTTCTTTTTTTGTGTCCCCTCCACCCTACCCTCAAATACTTTCACATGTATTTTCTATATAGCTCAACACAACTGTCAAAATTGGGAAATTACTCTGGGAGGCCGAGGTGGGTGGATCATTCAAGGTCAGGAGTTCAAAACCAGACTGAGCAAGAGCGAGACCCCGTCTCTACTAAAAAAATAGAAGAAATTAGTTTGACCAACTAAAAAATATATAGAAAAAATTAGCTGGACATGGTGGTCCACACATGCCTATAGTCCCAGGTACTTGGGAGGCTGAGACAGGATTGCTTGAGTCCAGGAGTTTGAAGTTGCTGTGAGCTAGGCTGACGCCATGGCACTCTAGCTCAGGCAACAGAGTTGAGATTCTGTCTCAAAAAAAAAAAAAAAAAAAAAAAAAATTGGGAAATTAGCACTGATACATTACTACCATCTAATCTGCAGACTCCATTCAAATTTTGCCAATTTTCATGGCAGCGCCCTTCACAGTTCAGAATCGCATTTTGCGATTAGTTGTGTTTAGCCTCTGTCTCTCTGGGACAGTTCCCTAGTCTTTCCTTGGTTTTCATGATGTTGACACTTTTGAAGATTTAAGCCAGTTACCTTGTAGAATATCCCTCATTTTGGGTTTGTTTGATGTTTCCTCATTGTCACAGAAATGATGCTATGGTCCTCTTGCTAGCTCCTTTCATGTGGTGCATGATTTTAATTTGTCCTATTACTAGTGATGTTCACGTTGATATTTGGTTAAAGTGATGTCTACCATGCTTTGACTTTAAAATTACCTTTTCCCTTTGTAATTAATGAGTATTTTTGTTAGGAGATCCCTTGAGGCTATGTAACTATCCCATTCCTCATTAAACCTTCAATTAATTAATTTATGTCAGCATAACTTATGGTTTCCTATTTTTTTTTTACAATGGGTTACTATCTGTTAGTGTCCTTATTTATTAATTTGATGTCTAAATGATCTCCAATTTTGCCAGTAGGAGCCCTTAAACTGGCTTCTGTGTCTTTTTTGACATGTACCCATAATTCTTTGGATACTCCTTTACTTCCTGGCAGTGTAAGATGTTTCAAGCTTATCTTGTACTTTATTGACCCCAGTCCTTTAATAAGTTTTTCCATGGAGCCTTGTTTGTTCTTAGGGGAAAATGATATTTATAAACCAAGATCTGGGTAATAGTTTGCTTATTACTGATATCCTATTCCTGGGCCCTCTCAGAGGATAGTAAGGGAATATATTTGTGTGTATACATATATATCCATATTATATATGCATAATATACATTTGTTTCTATATCTATACGTATTGAAAACCATACTTTCACCCCAATATCTTTGATTCCAATTCAATACCACAAGATTTGTTCTAGTTTTCTCCCTTTCTATATTTGTGTCTCCTTCCTTTCTTTTTTGAGACAGATTCTCACTCTGTTGCTTGGGCTAGAGTGCTGTGGCATCAGCCTAGCTCACAGCAACCTCAAACTCCTGGGCTCAAGCGATTCTTGTGCGTCAGCCTTCCTAGTAGCTGGAATTACAGTCATGCACCACCATGCCCGGCTAATTTTTTCTACTTTTGATAGAGACAGGGTCTCACTCTTGCTCAGGCTGGTCACAAACTCCTGAGCTCAAACGATCCACCCCCCTTGGCCTCCCAGAGTGCGTGTCTTCTTTCTTTACCACAAGGAGCTGGGTGTTATGATCCTTAATATATTTACTTATTTGATTAATAACTTTATGGGATAAATTTTCTATTGCTGTCACTGTCCCTCTTTCTGGTGGACACATTTTTCACTCCGCTTTGGCTTCAGTGCCCTGCACTGGGGACTGTCTCACAGAGAAACCTTTTTCACCCTGCTCAGGGTCCACCACCACCCACCCCACGCTCCTGCATAGGCACCCTCCTCAGCCTGCTCACTGCAGCATTATTAAGAACAGCAAAACACTTCATTTTTGTAAAGATGATATATGCTCATGATAAAACATCCAAACTATGCAGAAAAATACAATGCAGAAAAAAGTTAAATCAACCCCAAATTCTACCACTCAGAAATAATTGGTTGGTGATGAGCCTTCTAGCTCTCTGTCCTCATATATAGAGAGAAAGATGGTAGATTAAAGATAGATGAATCGTGGCCATACTAGATATGCTATTGTCTGAAATAAAAGATATTAACTGTAATTAATAAGTGTAACAGAAGAAAAGGAACCTAAGAAAAGCTTGTAAAACATGGTTGTACTTCATATGCATCTTCTTTGCCACGTGAGAGAGATCCATTTAGATTTAAGAGATTGGAAAGACTATTACAAGGTTGGAGTTTTTAAATAACTTTTTATCATATGATAACATACATGTAGAATTCTGCATGCAGCATGTGCAGTTTAAAGAATAATTATAAAGCAAATTGCTGTGTAACTAGTGCTCAGGCAATTAAATAGAATACAGCAGCGCCCCAGGGTCACTGTGGTGGTCTTTCTAATCACAGCTCCTCTCCCTCCAGAAGTGAGACAGTCCTATCTTTTGCCTTCCTTGCTGTGGTCTGCCACTTATACAGTCATCCCTAAGCACTATAATTTCATTTTCTCTGTTTTTGAACTTTACGTAAATGAAATTTCTCCTAGATGTTCTTTTGTGACTTGTTTCTTTTATGACTTGTTCATTTTGTTTATCATTGAGATTCATCCATTCTCCACACTGAAGTTCTGGCCCATTACAGCCTTCATATAAGAGGTTCAGGCCATATTGTTTATCAAAAGACACAATTAAGAAATAAAGGCACCTAAAATCCTATTCTGTTCCTTTTCATCTTTTTTTTTTTTTATTATAATTTCTGTTTCTTAAGCCTCTATCAGACCCAAGTAGCTTCATCACCCTGTCTAGCAATACCCAATCCAGGTAGTCTCTCTCATTTGCACAACTGCAGCATGTTCTTACCTGGTCTCCTGGCCACCTTCAGTTTTGCTGCCTGTAATTTATTATCCATACTGAAATCATAATTTTTGAAATGTAAATTTTTTAAAATCTTTTCCTTGTGTAAAAGAATTAAAAGTATCATCGTCCTTCTGCAGAAAAATGGGCTTAGTAAAAGTACCATTGTCTTAGAGATTACTATATAACTAAGAACTTGAAACTCTTAGTGTCTTAATACAATGAGAATTATGTTTTGTACTTATGAGTCTTTAAGTTGGTTAGGGTAGCTCTACTTCATAAGGCATGGCTCTGGGTTGAGTTCCACTCTGCATATTCTGACATTCTCCTTGGACCAATGACTACCCCACAGGAGCTCGAGAGGCCAAGCCAAACTGTTGGAGTAGCACATCTATTAACATGCCATTGGGTACGGAGAGTCCCATAGTCAAGCGTAACATCAGTCGGTGGGGAAGTACACTCTGCCCACTGTAGTACACTGCAGGGTCACAAGGCTGACGGAGAGAGTGAAGAATTAGGAACAATAATCTAACCCACCACAACTATTGTCAAATAGCAGTACTTTCTGCTCTTACTTAGATTGCTAATTATTTGTTCCTTTTGGTTTAGTTCTCTTACTTGACATGAATTCCCATAAAAATATCATATTTAATATCATATTAAAGAGGGATATATGTAAAAGAATACAAATAGTTGAATTTGGTGACTTGATATACAAGTACAACTCTTCAGGAGTTCTGTGATTTGGAACAAATTAATTTCATGCGACTCTCACTTTCCATGTCCAAAGAAGACTATTTCTAAATGTCTCTTGAGAATTCTAAGAATATGCAGATGTAACCTATCAGTGAAAAAATAGGATATTGAGATATTCCTAGTTTTCCTGTACTCATTAATGAGGTGATAATATGGCTTAACTTTGGCCTTTGTGCTTGCCCCCTGTCTCTCTGCTGGGTAGTGTTATCAGGGTTTATTGACCAGAAAGAGATTTAACCAAGATCTTGTAAAAATAACCACCTTTTTTTTCCTGCTCTGCTGTAGGACATAATGATTATATTTGTCCAGCAACAAATCAGTGTACAATAGATAAGAACCGGCGCAAAAGCTGCCAGGCCTGCCGACTTCGGAAGTGCTATGAAGTAGGAATGGTGAAGTGTGGTGAGTGCTTGCTTCCCCTCCTACTGTATGGGGGCCATGCTGAAAGCTGTGTCTTCTGAAAGACTGGGGACATGTAGTCTGGATAAGAGGAGATTCTGGACATGGTGATTATCCTCAAGTATTTGTATGCTGTCACACTGGAGGGGTCATTGACATCCCCTGTGGCTAAAGAGAGCAAAGCTGGGGTAAATGGGAATATGTTTCAGGAGGCAGATTCTGGCCCAATGTGGGGAAGACTTTCTATGATTTAAGTGGTTTGGCAACAGAATAGGCTAACACACGGGTTAGGGACTTCTAGCCACTGAAATAAATGCTGAAACAGGGATGGATGACCACCTGCTGGAGGCTTTGAAAAGTCCAGTTCTAAGAATGAATTCCTGGTGAATGTTTACAGTTAAATCTTGTGACAAGAGGCCGGGCACGGTGGCTCTCACCTGTAATCCTAGCACACTGGGAGGCCGAGACGGGAGGATCGCTCGAGATCAGGAATTTGAGACCAGCCTGAGCAAGAGCGAGACCCTGTCTGTACTAAAAATAGAAAGAAATTAGTTGGACAACTAAAAATATATATAGAAAAAATTAGCCTGGGCATGGTGGTGCGTGCCTGTAGTCCCAGCTACTTGGGAGGCTGAGGTAGAGGATCACTTGAGCCCAGGAGTTTGAGGTTGCTGTGAGCTAAGCTGATGCCACGGCACTCTAGCTGGGGCAACAGAGTGAGACTCTGTCTCAAAAAAAAAAAATAAAAAATCTTGTGACAAGAAAGTAGAATATCTTATGGGTTACGTGGGTTACCATGGGGAAGACTCATGCCTGTCCTTCCACTAGCATTCTAGAAGTGGAAAAAATATGTGTAGGACTCAGAAATGTGATAGAACCGTGAAAAGTACATGGAACATGGTTTTTTTTTTGAGTCAGAGTCTCGCTTTGTTGCCCAGGCTAGAGTGAGTGCTGTGGCGTCAGCCTAGCTCACAGCAACATCAAACTCCTGGGCTCAAGCAATCCTGCTGCCTCAGCCTCCCAAGTAGCTGGGACTACAGGCGTGTGCCCGGCTAATTTTTTCTATATATATTAGTTGGCCAATTAATTTCTTTCTATTTATAGTAGAGATGGGGTCTCACTCTTGCTCAGGCTGGTTTCGAACTCCTGACCTCGAGCAATCCACCTGCCTCGGCCTCCCAGAGTGCTAGGATTACAGGTGTGAGCCACCGTGCCCGGCCGGAACATGGGTTTTGTTCTATGATAGTATATGTGTATACAGATGTATATATAATCTATAATACATACACTTATACACATGTATTCTTTTATAAACACATATGAAAAATGCAAAGAAAAGTGAGCACTTTAGTGTAACAACTGACAAAGATATTTAGATATCCTGCTCTCTCTACCTGGATAGCTTTTGGTTCACTTGTCTGTACACATTCCCTTATTTATACACATTCATATCTAGTCTGCCTGTACTTATTCTTCTGCTAGCCAGTATTTTGCCTGTGATTAGTTGTAATTTCTCTCTTTGCGCTTATTTGAAAATTTAAAGCAAAAGTCACTTTTCTGCCTGACAATTTCTTAGTAGCTCTGCCTCTTGAACACTCTCTGTCCTTGTGTGTTCAATAGATTAGAACCACCACCTCATTCAGAATTCCAGCAGAAGTTCTCTTAATTTTTTTTTTTTGAGACAGTGTCTTGCTCTATTGCCCAGGTGTCATAGCTCACTGCAGCCTCAAACTCCTGGGCTCAAGTGATCCTTCTGCTTCAGCCTCCTGAGTAGCTAGGACTATAGGCACATGCCACCACACTTGGCTAATTTAAAAAAAATATTTGTAGAGACCAAGTCTTGCTGTTGCTCAGGCTGAGAAGTTCTCTTAATTTGATCACACTTGTCTGGCTTCCTAGTGCCACTGATGTTCTCCGTTTCCTGCCAATGTCCATAACCTCTTGATGTGTATTGGTTACTCTCTCAAACTCTTAAACATTGCTGTTCTCACCACTTCAGTTATATCCTTATCAGACACCAGTGGGCTTCTTCCCAAACCTGTTTCTCTACTCATTTTATAATATTTGTTACATTATAAAATTTAATTGTGATTTATGGAACATGAAGTATGAGTAGGAAAAGATAGTTTCTGTGAGAGCTTATTTGAAAGCTTTGAATAAAACTGCAAAGGACTAATCATTATTGAATTAGGTATGGGTAAGATTGGGTGAAAAAAATCATAAGCCTAGGAAGATTCTGAATTTAGATTTCCTTAGAAGTGTCTAGGTTCTTGGTGTGTTTTGAAGAAGCTGAAACAGGAAATTCAGAGATAACATCTCATGGGTGTGGTTTATGCTGAAAAGTGACTTGTCCTATTGGCAGAGATGCTTAAAGAGAAAGCATTGGCTGACAAAAGATTGCAAGTAAATGTTTTGTGTTTTTAGTTAAACAGCATTTTAAGTGAGTGTGTGTATTTTTAAAAATTGATTTCCAATTTGATCTTGAGATAGGAATGCTTTTATTGTATAATACTAGGATCTGCTGGACAGCTGTAGCCTTCATGGTTCAAGACAGTGTATGTGGTGGGAAGAGTGTCAGGATTTGACTCCCAGAGACTGAGTCTCATTTTTGTTTCATCACTTGCTGACTGTGACTGTGCTCAAACTACTTGACCTCTGTGGCCCTCTGTTTTCTTAATCTCCGAATAGGGATGTCTGCTTCATTGAGTTTTGCGAGGAGAAAGTGTGAGGACATATGTGAAGACCTAGCAGTGCCTGGCTCTCAATTTTAGTTTTTCTTCCTTTCTCTCTCCTTCATTGAAAAGCTCATCTAAGTTAGGAGTTTTGACACAATACAGTGTCATGAGACAGAGTACAGATACATAGTTAAAGAATCTTTCATGGAAAAGCGAATGAAAGAAGAGATTGTTGAAGTTAGCCAGAAAGCCACTGGGTAGGGCTCTCTAAAAAAAGATTCTCTTTGGAGATTACAGAAGAAATGAAATGGGTTGATGTGCATACGTAGTTGGGTATTTGCCCTTCACTGACCACAGAGAAAGACCAGTAGGGGTGAATTTTCCTAACTATGTCTGTCTCCTTTCCTACCACTATCTCATCTGCCCACCCCAAAAAGCCTCTCTCCATGTTTTTCCTTCTAGCCAGTCTTGGAGGATTAGGGATTCTACCCACATTTATACAATAAATGGTATTGGGACAATTGTATGTCTATTTGGAAAAATACAGCATGATGTATCAATATCACATGATACAAATAAACATAAAATTTAAATAGATTTGAACTACAAAAGTTGCTAAGAAGATATAGGAGAATATTTGTATAATCTTGATGTGGAACAAAAAGACAGACTTGACTATGTGTTAAACTTATGATAAAAGACACCATGAGCAAAGTTAAAAGATATATAACTAACAAAAATTGCATATAACAAAAAGCTATTATATAAAGAGTCTGTATAAGTTATTAGAACAAAGGGCAAAATAAACAAAATAGGCAATTCATAAGTAAGGAAATACAAAGGGCAAGTGTATTAGTTAACCTTGCTACTAATTAAAAAGTACAAAGTAAAACAAGATTGTTTAGTACTTGTCAGATTAGCAAAGATTAAAAATTATTTTTAATTCTCAGTGGTGTTATGAGAAAATAGGCAGTCCATTGGTTTTTTTGTTTTCTTTTGAGACAAGGTCTTGCTCCATTGCCTAGCCTGGAGTGCAGTGGTGTGATCATAGCTCACTGCGACCTTGAACTCGTGGGCTCAAGCGATCCTCCCACCTCAGCTTCCTGAGTAGCTGGGCCTACAGGGGCATGCCACCATGCCAGGCTAGCCAGGCTAATTTTTTTTTTTTAAGAGACAGGGTCTCACTATGTTGCCTAGGCTGGTTTCAAACCAGATCATTGTTTAAAGTACATTTTAAAATATATATTTTAAAATAATATATAAATTTAAAAATATTTTGGGGGGTTAATCTGTCAATATGTATAAAAAATTTAAATGTGCATATGCCTTGGTTTAGCAGTTTGACTTCCTTGAAATTTTATAAGGAAGTAATTGGATATGTAGCAATTTCATGTACAAAGTATATTTTTATTGTAATGTTTATACTATCAAAGACATCAGAATCAAATCAACTTAGATTTTCATTAATAGAGGATTCTTTAAAAAATGGTGCTTTATTCATAAAACTCCATAGATTTTAAAATTATAATATGAGATGTTTTTAATAAACAGAAAACAGATTATAATGGTATACATACTATGATCCTAATTTTGTGCATAAAATATGGAAAAGTATAAAAGCATAAAAAGACTGAAATAAGTTATGTCAAAATTTGTTCTCTTCTATATATATTTTCCAGATTTTTAAAATTAATTTGTTATTTGAAATATACTTATTTAAGTATGAAAAAATAAAATATATATACATATGCATATAAACATTTTAAGAATGTATTATAAAGGTATTCTTTGATAACTGGAAATATCAATGTTGAAGTCCTAATTTTTCTCCATTTTCTACTTGAGTTGAAGTTTCTAATTTTGTGGTTGGGAAACTGAGGTCTGTCAACATTCTTTTCAAAGAGAAATAGATTTAGTATCCATAGATACCTTGGTATCCATAGATGACCTTGAGATGGAGACCCGAAAAGTTCCTTCCAAGTTTTGTTGTTGATTTTGCTAATACAGTCACAGCTGCAATTATCTTTGGTACATGCCTCACTGGCTCCGGAAAATAAAAGCCATCTCCTGTTCTCAGGCACATTCTGAGAATGGCATTAGGTCCTACGGTGATGCCATTGCTTCGATTTTACCCTGGCGATGCAGGGAGCTTGAATGCTGGGTCAGAAGCCCTGTGTTACCATCTGCTTTCTTCTTCAGGCTCCCGGAGAGAAAGGTGTGGGTACCGCGTGGTGCGGAGACAGAGAAGTTCCGATGAGCATCTGCACTGCCTGAGCAAAGCCAAGAAGAGCAGCGGCCACGTGCCCCGAGTGAAGGAGTTGCTGCTGAGCGCCCTGAGCCCGGAGCAGCTGGTGCTCACGCTCCTGGAGGCAGAGCCGCCCAACGTGCTGGTGAGCCGCCCCAGCTCGCCCTTCACCGAGGCCTCCATGATGATGTCCCTGACCAAGCTGGCCGACAAGGAACTGGTACACATGATCAGCTGGGCCAAGAAAATCCCTGGTAGGCCTTTCTGGGTATTTGCCTTCTATTTCTTTGTAGAAAGTCCTGCTCCTAATAGTTAAGGGGCAAGCATACAACATAAAGGTCCATAAAATATGCCTAGATATTTAACAGTTTGACAGCTTGATTTATTTATTTTTTTGTTGAGATACAGTCTTACTCTGTTGTTCTGGATAGAGTGGAGTGGAATCATCATAGCTCACTGCAACCTCCAACTCCTGGGCTCAAGCAACCCTCCTGCCTCAGCCTCCAGAGTAGCTGGGACTACAGTTGCGTGCTACAATGCCTGGCTGATTGTTTTCTTTTTGGTAGAGACGGGGTCTCTTGCTCAGGCTAGTTTTGAACTCCTGAGCTCAAGGAGTACTCTCGCCTGGCCTCCCAGAGTGCTAGGATGACAGGCGTGAGCCACCACGCCCAGCCTGACAACTTGATTTATAATTTCTTTGAGGAAATATGTTCTTTCCCCCTATCTTGACATACATACCTTCAACAAGGCCAGGTTCTGATTTAGAATTCTTGAACTCCTCTGAGCTCTATACCAGATGTGAAAGTGTGGGAAGAGCTGTACATGACTCAGCCATTTCTATTCCTGACTCCCTTCTTTTTCCACCCCCAGAACCATCCCACACTGTCTCGCACACACCCCATCCTGTCTGCATCCCCTACACATTTGTCTGTTGGCCACTTCTCATGCTTAGAGGTGATCTGGGAAGATGGACCCAGGGAGGAAACTCACTCAGGCTCTGCAATTGAACTTGGAGTGATTTGGGCAAGAAATTCTAGAGGACGTGGAACATGGTTAAAAGGAAGGAATATGAGGTCCACAGTGACCTGTATCTTGGCTGTGTGGACCCCTCACCTTGAGAGGCGGGGTGTGGTCAGGTGGTAGTGGGGTAGGGTACAGTGTGACTAATATGAAAGTTTTGTCAGATGCTAAACATTGTAAAATATTGTTCCAATAGAGAATCAGAATTGTGTATATAAATAAATATATATGGCCAAATAGAGCAAATTAGCAGTTGACATAACATGAAACATAAATGGGCCAATAAACCTAGAATGCCATCAAGTTAGAAATGGGCTTAATTACTCATGAGTTAGCATTTGGAATGTGCATTTTCCATCCTGTAAGGAGATCTCTTCCCTAGGCCCATTTGTATTAATAATAAATACCTGAAGTACTGTATTGTATTTATTACCAACTAATTATCCTTTGAATGGGTGTTTCTGTGGAGAAGTGAATACAGGATTCTAACCTAGAATGGCAACACCCCCCTACCCTGCCAAAAAATCTTCTGCATGCAGTTCCTCACAGTTGTCTAAGAAGTGAGGTCCCTCTCCAGGTTCTGAGGCCCTGCAGGGACCTTCCCCCGGCCTGCGGGCAGCACTTGCATTGGGCAAACTGTAGCGCTTAGGAGGGCTGGGGTGCTGAGGGAGGAGCAGTAGTGGGTAAAGAACTAGAGAACCAAGGTCTAGGGTGATGGTGTCTTTTGAGGTCATTCACTGGCCTCAGTCCTGTCCTTTGGAGCTTCCTGAGGATTTTCTGGTTTCTGGTTTGGTTTGGTTTTGTCTAGTGTCTTCACCTTTGCCAGCATTGTTTCCCAGAGGAGACGGTACTGATGCACTGTCCTCTAGTTTTTACTTTATTTAATTAATTAATTTATTTATTTTGAGACAGAGTCTCACTTTGTTGCCCAGGCTAGAGTGAGTGCCGTGGCATCAGCCTGGCTCACAGCAACCTCAAACTCCTGGGCTCAAGCAATCCTCCTGCCTCAGCCTCCCGAGTAGCTGGGACGACAGGCATGCGCCATCATGCCCGGCTAATTTTTTCTATATATATCTTAGTTGGCCAATTAATTTCTTTCTATTTATAGTAGAGACGGGGTCTTGCTCTTGCTCAAGTTGGTTTCGAACTCCTGAACTTGAACAATCTGCCTGCCTCGGTCTCCCAGAGAGCTAGGATTACAGGCGTGAGCCACTGCACCCGGCCTTAGTTTCTACTTTAAATGTGTTTCAAACACTATTTTGCAGGAGTGCGTGTGGAGAGTGGTGGTGAAATTAATTACTGCTGACAGCTGTGTGGCTTCTCTGTGCCATAACACGGCTGAACTCTAAAGTTGCACAAGCCCCTCTTCAGGCCTGGTATTTGGAAAGATTTTCAGAAAACTTAGGCATAGGCTGAAAGTGTGATTTCTTTTTTTTCCCTCTTTCAGCTGACATAGTCATTGTCCAAATTAAAAAAATATATTAAAATATCATATAGTCTTGTTGAATATCTGCAAGAATAAAAAGTTTGATCTTTCTCATGTAGGCTTGTTGTCTATAACTGGGTAAAAGTGGAAGGTGTGTACATATCAGGAACCTGAATTGAGCTAGCCTGTGGCTTTGAAAGTATCTATCTTTACATTCATTATTACAGTAACTTATCCTTTATGTAAATTTACATTATAATTGTTCAAAGACTTGAACCACGTGTGTTCTCTGTGCCATAGTTTCCTCATCTTTAAAAAGGAGGATAAGAGATCCTACTTGTAGGAGATTCTCAGAGGTAGATATTATTATTCCTATTTTTCCTGTAAGGAAAACAAAGACTTAAAAGGAAATTAATAACCAGCTACGAAGAGACTAATGGGGTCCAACCAGAGCACATGTCACTCCAAGGCTGAGCCTTCTGTTCCTGTATTTATATTACACTGACCCCTCCTTTTATCACGGCTTGTAGAGGAAGCCCCGGTGTTGTGTCTGCTTAGCTGGTTTTTTTTTTTTTCTTTTTGAGACAGAGTCTCACTCTGTTGCTCGGGCTAAAGTGCCGTCAAACTCCTGAGCTCAAGCAAATTCTACTGCCCCAGCCTCCCAAGTAGCTGGGACTACAGGCATGTACCACCACACCTGGCTAATTTTTTCTCTTTATATTTTTAGTTTGCCAATTAATTTGTGTCGATTTTTAGTAGAGACAGGGTCTTGCTCTTGCTCAGGCTGATTTCGAACTCCTGACCTTGAGTGATCCACCCGCCCTCAGCCTCCTAGAGTGCTAGGATTATCTGCTTAGCTTTTGAAGTACTCATCTCCCCAGAGGTTGATTACCTGCTTCTTTCCATTTCTGTGAACAACGTATGCTATTAGGTTATCAGGACCTGCTTTGGTTGGTACATTTACTTTTTGGGATAGACTCGCCTAGAAGCAGTGCTTCTATCCAAAAGAATGATCCTAACACTGAATGGGAAATTTTAAGCAATCAGGGAACCCATTTCAGTGGAAGCCTTGACTTTTGGCATGGGCTGGCACTGCTTTCTGCATGCTCCCTCCCCCACAGCTTCCACCTACCCCATTCTCCCACCCTCCTGGGCCTGTTGTGGGTTGGGTGAGACAGACAGCCCCTCTGGCAGGGAGCATTAGCTTTCTCAGCAGTGCAGAGGAATTATTAGGATATAGCTAACAAAGATCAAGTCTGGCCTTCCATTCTTCTCCAGCATCTGCCTGGGGAGCTGAACGAGCCCAGTTAATGGTGCTTCATAAATTCTAAATGACATATATTTGTCTCTAGAAGGGGTCCAAGATTAGAAACTGTGAGTTGCACAACTTCAAAATTTTCTTCCTTTAACCAGCATTTAGTCACATCTTTAAAATATATTGTTTGTGTTTTCTTAGCATTTTAAAACTTGCCATTCTGTCTCTACAGAAACAGGGAGCTGAGGAGCAGGGTGGGTGTGTCTCATGGCCTCTTGCTTTCCGTAGGCTTTGTGGAGCTCAGCCTGTTGGACCAAGTTCGGCTCTTGGAAAGCTGCTGGATGGAGGTGTTAATGGTGGGGCTGATGTGGCGCTCAATTGACCACCCCGGCAAGCTCATCTTTGCTCCAGACCTCGTTCTGGACAGGTAAGAAAGAAAACGCATTGTGTTTCTTCTCCAACTTGTTAGAGTGAGGGCTTACTGAGTGGGAACAAAGTCCTGGGTGCTGCAATTAAAATCTCACATCTGAAGGGCAATTAAAGAATGAAAATGTTGTCATTTCCTTCACTGAGTCAAGAACCAGAGAAGGAGAGAGCATGGGTACAAGGATTCAGTGTCCCGTAACTCATTTTTAATCTGTGGTGCAGCAGCATGTACAGGCCAGGGCCATAATGGGACTGTGTCCCACAGGGTATGTGGCCACTAAATGTACAAGTCGGCATAGAGTTTTCCATTCTCAGGTTATTATCTTAAATTGTCCTGCTGTTTTTTTTTTCCACCTATAGGGACTGATTATATCTTGAGCTATCAACATCTGGGCAGGTGATAAAATTCTTACAAATCTGCCAAGTTTATTTTCTTGTGCTTTAACTCACCCCAATGCATGTACTATATAGCATATTTGGCAATAGGGGTAGAAGGAGTGGTTATCAAAACCAAATGGAAATTAACAGGAATTGAAACACAATGGTGCTGATGCCATAACTGGGTCGCATTTAGTTTTCTTTTAAAGATGACACAGAAAAGGAACCAGTTTTTAATTGACTTAGGTGAACTGTTTGTGGAGGCAAAGCTGGCATATACAACTGTGAAGCTTTTTAGCAGGAGAAGCAGAATACTCTATTGGTGTGAATTTGAACAGTTTGGAGATCTCCATGGAAGTTGATTTCCATGCCCCTTAAATTGACAAAGTGCCAGCGTTGAATGTTCACCCACATCAGACCTTGTGCACAGAGTGGGAGGATGCCTAGTACTATGAATGGAAAGTACCTGCCCCAACTCTTGCGTTACAATCCTGTTACCACTTTAGATAATCAGAAGAGCCCCAGGTACACCTTATGTAGGTGGAGAATGAAACCCTAAGATGTCAGCACCAGTTCTGCCTGTTGTCATGGATGACAATATTGACAAAGAGCACTGTTCTGAGTAATGGAGGTGTTTTGGACAGAGCCTTTGGGGAGACCTGGAGCATGGGGAGCATGGCATGTGGCTCAAGCAGGAGCTAGCCCAGGTGGTGAACCATAGATGGAGGCTCTGGAAGCTCAGAGCAGTGCAGGCATCAGACCCATTAGTAACAATCAAAATGGCTGATTTATTGGCTTGTGTGTGCACTTGACATATGTTGACTCATTTAATCTTCCCAACGGTTCTTTGTGGGTAAGCACCATTTATCACCCCTATCCTTCAGATATAGATATGGGAGGTTAAGTAACCTGCCTACAGTTACAGAGTAGTAATGGTAGAGCTGGATGTGGGGGTCTGGCTGTAAAGTCCACCCTCCTATGGACAATAGTACACTGCCTCTTAGTGGGATAGAGAACTGGAAGGAGAGAGAGGAGGCCAAACTATCTACTTTGTGCTTTCGTCTTAGAGCAGCCCTATTCTACTCTCCACCCACTGCAGAGACCCACTCCTGCTGTCATCTCAGCTACCATGTTGCAAGGCAAGCTGAAAAGCCAGGCCATTGCTCCCATTCATTCATTCATTCATTCATTATTTTCCACTATGTCACTATTACATACATGTAAATATACACATAAAATTCTCCTAGAAGTTACTGCTAGGAAGATGGTCCATCCCTTGATGAACCAATACATTTGCAGAAATTGAGATTAAATTATTTTACTTTTTGGATTGATTTTTAATTGATGACAAATTTTGTGTTTATTTTCAGTTACTGTTTCATTCCTGGTTTTTAGTGCAGTCAACTCTCCCCTTTTTCTGACATGGGTTATTTAATTCCCGTTAATATGTGTATAAGTTTGTGTAAATAGACACAAATTCTGTATAAGTGTGAGGCCTATCTTTTAGTTACATAATAGATGGAAAAAAAGTTGTTTTTGTTGTAAGTTTTTATTGATTGATTTGTTCACTGAGATGAGGTCTTACTCTGTTGCCCATGCTGACCTTGAACTCCTGGGCTCAAACATTCCTCTTGCTTCAGTCTCCCAAGTAGCTGGGATTATAGGTACACACCACCAAGCCCACTGTAGAAATGTTACAGGATATTACAAATTATTTTTAACAGACTTACATTAATCTTTATAAATATTTTAAAGTATATTTTACAACATATAAATCTAGTATATTTGGTTGAGTGTAGAAGAGGAATTCTTGGGAATTGTGAATGCATTCATACTGAGCTGGCCTTTTTTTGAGTGCCTACTGGTGTTTATTTCTTGTTGCAATCCCTAGTAGTGTGTGTGTGTGTGTGTGTGTGTGTGTGTGTGTGTGTGTGTGTGTGTTTTAAGAGACTGGGTCTCGCTCTGTTGCCAAGGTTGGAGTGCAGTGGTGTGATCTTAACTTCCTATAGCCTTGAACTCTTGGGCTCAAGCGATCCTCCTGTCTCAGCCTATCAAATAGCTAGGACTACAGATGCACACCATCATGCCTGGATAATGTTTAAACTTTTTGTAGAGATGGGGTCTTGCTGTGTTTCCCAGGCTAGTCTCAAACTCCTGGCTTCAAGGATCCTCCTATTTTGGCCTCTGAAACTGCTGGCATTACAGGCATGAGCCACCTCGCCTGGGCCCTAGTGTTTTTTTTTTAACACACTGACTTTGTGAAGTCTAGAATTTCTAGTCTAAGATAGTTCAGTTACTTAGTGCATCTCTTATACAGATAAATATACTTGTATGTAATAGATACTAATATATTTCTGCAGGAGTTGCTTATTCAAAAAGTCAGGGATCATGCTCCATAAAGGAATGTTATGAATGTTTTTCGCATGGTGAATAAATAACCTTCACACTACTTGAAAGTAACTGTTTTTTGCTGGATTGTCCTACCAAAGTTCCTTCAAGTGATGGTATGACTGAATAAGCAGTGAGTACAACTAGTTTAGCCTATTTGTGGATACCGAGACTGTAATTTTTGTTTCCCTTTATTCTTGTTGAGGCTTCTGCACCAAGAAAACTTGAACCTACTGAGGATGAGAGGAAAATCCAGTTATCTCAGCTTATTTCTAACAAGGCAGTTCTTCTTTTAGTAACTACTAGAATCATAAATTCATGTGAAGATCTACCACAGAACCTCAGCTTCTTCTGCTTAAAATAATCATGTATGCTAAGGCATCTTTCCATTCTCAGGTTATTATCTTAAATTGTCCTGCTGGTTTTTTTCCCACCTATAGGGACTGATTATATCTTGAGCTACTAACATCTGGGCAGGTGATAAAATCCTTAGCATCAATAAGAAGCTGTATAATGTTAAATGTTATTAAAAAGTCAGAGGACATTTGGATCTGGGCTTGACCCCATTGTAGACGTTTACAGAGTTCATAGAATGTACGGAGTTTGCATTTACATTAGTTATTTTGTATGTTGAATTTCTTAAAGATAGCCACAGAATTTTCACGTCTGAATTTTAATGTGCTCTGTATAGCCAGGTAATTTCACTTCAGTTTGGTATTAAGTCCCCCATCCTCAGCCCCCCATTCCTATTGTCACACATACAGAGGTCAGCTGTGGTCTGTGCCTATGTGTGGGCTGCCAGCAGATGTATGTGTAGGTGCAAAATATTGTACCCCAAAGTAAGAGCCATGCATTCAAAATTTTGGTGTTTGTATAATTTTTCTTTTATAAAATAATGATGATAAGATATTACACATGTAATTATTAAATTTTGTGTAGAACTGGTTCATGGACAAATAGTGTGCAAAAATAAATTTCTGTGAGTAGGTCAGTTTGATTGATATGATGTTTTAATATTTTAACATGCAAATCATATGGTCCTCTGTCTTCAATTATTTTAATCCTGTCCTAATTTCTTACTCATAATTCAGTTCCAATCTAAAATTACAAAATAAATGAAATAGATTTCATTAACTTGTTATTTTAAAGTCCTTCCTCACTTTGTTCTGTGTAACTCATTTGAAAGCAGAAGTTTATTAGGTTGTCATTTATGAGGTATTGTACTTTATTGCCCCTATCTTTTTTTTTTTTTTTGAGACAGAGTCTTACTCTCTTGCCCAGGCTGGCGTCAGCCTAGCTCACAGCAACCTCAAACTCCTGGGCTTAAGCAATCCTGCTGCCTCAGCCTCCCGAGTAGGTGGGACTACAGGCATGCGCCACCATGCCTGGCTAATTTTTTCTATGTATATTAGTTGGCCAGTTAATTTCTATTTATAGTAGAGACGGGGTCTCACTCTTACTCGGGCTGGTTTTGAACTCCTGAGCTCAAGCAATCCGCCCGCCTCGGCCTCCCAGAGTGCTAGGATTACAGGCGTGAGCCACTATGCCCGGCCTATTGCCCCTATCTTTATTTATTTTATAGAAATGTATTTGGTTTCTGCAGCCTATGAAGTGAATAAAAATATTCTCACTTTGCCACCCTTCGAATGAAATGGTTGGCTGTCACACCTGGGAAAAAGAAAGCAATCAGATATAGTTCTTTAGATTCTGTTTAGAAATTTACTTTTTCCATGAGATATATACTCTGATTACTGTGAGTTGCAGCATTTATTAGTTCTTAAGATGGCCCAGTATGTAAACTCTCCCTCTATTTTTGAAATATGAATTTGCATTAAAACCTGCATGTATTTTAATGAGAAAATGATATCAATTTCAATATTTAGGGATTGTTCTTAAGCACAAGTGGCAACTTATAGAACATGAGATTTATTTCAGATGGGTCCCCTTACCATGCCACTTGGGTGTGTGTGGGGTAGGTATGTGTGTGGTATGCATGTGTGCATAATCCCACATCAGACTCAGAGACTCAGAAGGGTAAAGAGCCCAACCATTAAACCATCAATGCAGGAGTTGGCGGATATTTTGTTTTCACCCCACAGAGATATTTGAAAACCACCTTTTCTTGGTATCAAATGTTCTCAAGCCCAACAGTTACAATTTCCAATAATTAGTTGTCCCCAGGCAAAGTGACTTGGTGCGGCACCAGGGACATTCAGTGAACGAGTGTTTCTTGTGTGTCCACTATGTGCAGGGCCTGTGTCGTCCTCACTGGATGCCTGTACCAGTCTGCCTGAGAGCCCAGAGCAAGGAGGTGGTTCGGGGAGGGTTGGAGATTTCTTACAGATTTTGATACTCTTTGCCCAGGGCTCTGATTCTCCAACATGACCTTTCCCTATGAGTGACTTCTGGTGAGCACTTAACCTGTGCACTTACAGAAAATTGCAACTGTTTGCTGAAGTTACCATGCTTGTTTGTCAGTGAGCAGTTTGCATGCTTGTAGCTCTGTGTAAGAGAGTCTGGGGTGGGGTGGGAAAGTGCCACTGCTTTGGAATGCAGGACCCTGTCGAGCTGTGGCTCTTAATGGGAAAGGCACCCAATGGGAAAGGCTTCCCTAGGTATCTAGTAGTGTCAGTTCATTTAAATTCTGCAGAAGCTTGTCCCCCAAATACCACCATTGCTAGAAATGTCCTGGCTTGGTGTTGGGGGAAGGAAGAGGGGAGCAGCCAGTTCTTTGAGGACCTTGAGCTCCCTTCAAGGGCTGCTAAATAGATTAAAAATGGAACTCGCAGAGACCCACTGCCTTTCCCTGCGTGCTGCAGGCTTTGAGGAGTGAACGAGGGTTTCACCACAAAGTCATCTAACTGCTTGTCAAGGACTTCCGATAACTCTGTGCCTGATAATAATAGAAAATTTTTGGGAGCAGTGAGGTGGAATAATATGTCTGGCTGGAGTGAATACAAGCTGGTGTTTTCTAGATAAAGTTTAAGTAATTTACTTCAAAAGTATATTTAAAAATTTACTTCCATAAGGAGTTTTGAAAAGAATTTTGATTATATGGTTCAAAGTTTGTCTAAAACATTTGTTTAAAAATAATCTCCAGTAAAAGATTTCCCCATCTCCACATCTAATCCAGCTTCTCTAATTGTGATTTCTTTGTATGTTTTATTTGCTTTTTTCAAATTACACTTAAATGCCTCTTAGTGGCTACACCAGTTTCTAAGTGACCACTAGGAAGTGAGAGTTGAACCCTAGATATAAAGATTTATTTCTTCTTGGGATATTTGCTTCTGTAACACTCAGTCTTACTTAGTAATACTTCCTGATGGGGAAGATGGAATATCTCCCTTTAGTAATATGTGTCATGTGTGGGCTGGTTGACTGAAATGATTTAGAGTGAAAATAATCAACAGAAGTGGTGTTCTTGTGAGAAAACATTTGGTGAACAGGTAGAAGCAAAATGTAGTTCCAATGCACACTTTTGCCTAAATGGTATTTATGTGCATATTTATTTTAGGGATTTATAGGAAATGCCCTGTCTTTATATGAAGATAATTTTAGTAATTTCATATTGCTAGGTAAGGTCTCATTCACATTTTGTTATAGTCAATAAGATCTTAACTTTAACATGTTACAAGATGAAATTTGAGATTAAAAACAAAACACTCATTGTTTTTTGATGGTGGCCTGAAGCTGTGTTCTTTCAATTTCCAAATGAACTTTTGTAGGGATGAGGGGAAATGCGTAGAAGGAATTCTGGAAATCTTTGACATGCTCCTGGCAACGACTTCAAGGTTTCGAGAGTTACAACTCCAACACAAGGAGTATCTCTGTGTCAAGGCCATAATCCTCCTCAACTCCAGTGAGTAACCACGCAGCTGGGCTGGGTTTTATTGGTGAGAGACACGCTGCTTCTAGAACCAGCATGGTGTTAGGAAGAGTATTGGACTTCTATTTTATTTAAAAAGGATAAAATGGCTTCCTTTTTGAATTCTGATTTATTTTTATAGGGATTTACCCTATAGTCAACTTTTGGTAATCTGAGTATAAACTATACATTAGGTGAATGGCAATAAATTTAAAAAGTATCTCAAGCCATTTGCGGGAAAAGAAAAAAAACGAACTTTAAAATGTTTATCTTTCAGCTTTTCTTTAATGTTTATAGAGATATTTTATATGGTTGACATGCATTTATACTTAATGTTTTGGGTTCTACTTTTTACAGATTCATTCATTCGAGATACTTGAGATACAGTCCTGCCCCCAAATAGTTCATAGTGTAGGGAGGGAGGGAGGGAGAGAAAACAAATCATTAAAAATAATCTCACCATGATAATGAAGTGCACACAGAGCACTATCTGTGGGAAAATAGAAGGAGGAGAGATGCTGGAGTGGACGCAGAAGGGAAAGATGTTGAAGGAGGCTTCAGGGAAGAGCAGAGGGGGCAGATAAGGTTGTAAAATGCAGGGATGAAGATTACAAATGCTGCTGTGGGCATCAGAAGCCTTAGAAGAGGTTCAGGCAGGGGACCTTCGAGCATAGATACTTGTTTCACAGGGTGACTCTGGCTTCCTCACAGAGGCCTTTAGAGACAATGAGACCCTGAACTAACTAACCGTGTGGTGGGGTCAGAGGGGAGGACCTGGCTTGAGGGGAAAGTAGGAGGTAAAGGTGGGAAATGAGGAAGGTGTCTAGGATATGTGGATGGTTTAGCTTTGCTGTTTTTTTTCTTATATAGATAATACTTGGTTATTATAAGCATTCAAACAAAAGAAACCCATACAAGGAAGAAAATAAAATCACCAGGAATACCTGCCCTCAAGATAATCACTGTCTTTGGTGGCCATTCTTTAATGCCTTTAGTGCCTGCTTGTGCACACTCCCCTGTCCTTTTTCTATCCTGCAATAATCATTTAAAGTAATAGTTAACCTCCGACGTATATTAGGATAGGGTTTCATTTTTAAAATACAGATACCTCTCCCTCTTGCTTTTTTACTTTTCAAATTGTTGTGAAATCCCTCCAGGTCAACTAGGAGAGATCTAACTCAATCTTTGAAATGAGGGCATTGCACTAAATTGTGCAACCTTCTCTGCATTGATGAGCCTTTACTTAACATCTAGGTCCTCTCTTTTTTTTTTTTAACCATTATAAACATGACTGTAGTAAATAGAGACGTTATTTTGTATGCGCTTCTGAATGTCTATGCAGTTGCCATGCTGCGCAGTTTACTGTCTACCTGGTGTCGATGCAGCTGCCATGCCAGGTATTAATTGCTTTGCTTAGCCATTTACCCTTGTTGGGCCGTTAGGTTCTTGATGTCTTTTCTTTCTCAGATACTATGTATATCCAGGTTTAATCCTTACCTGATGACTTATAGATATCTTTATTTGAACAACATATGGGGCTTTATTAATTAGATTTTATCCAATCCTAGAACTCAGAGCTTGAAACAACAAGGAAATGTTAGACTGTATTATGTCTCTGTATTTTAACTCAGCCAAAGCGGTAGTCCTGAAGCCAGAGTTCAATGCAGGACCTGTGGCTGCATGTGTCCTAGGCTGCCTTCTGATCCAAGGCTAGCTGACCTCCCCCTGCCCATACACATCTCCCCTCTCACAGACTCTTACACATTGGCATAGTTTTAATGAGGGGGAAAGGAAAACACACAGAGCAGTGATTCTCAAACTATTTGTGGCGAAAGACCAGAATTTGGTGTTTTTGGTTTTTTTTTGAGACAGGGTCTTGTTCTGTCACACAGGCTAGAGTGCAGTGGTGTCATCATAGCTCATTGCAACCTCAAACTCCTGGGCTCAAGTGATCCTCCTGCGTCAGCCTCCCAGGTAGCTAGGACTACAGATGTCCCACTACACCCAGCTAATTTTTCTATTTTTTGTCGATATGGAGTCTTGCTAGGTTGCCCAGGCTGGTTTTGAATTCCTGGCCTCAAGAAATCCTTCCTCCTCGGCCTCCCAAAGTGCTAGGATTATAGGCATGAGCCACTGTGCCCAGCCTTATTCTTTTTTAATTTCTAAATTTGTAAGGATAGTTACCTTTGTAAAATATAATAAAATGAATTAGTAGAAAAATAAGAGTAAAATATAAGCCCTAGTTTATTATATTATTAGTTATATTGATAATTTAAAACTATTTAGTCAATTGCTATAAAATTTCTAAATGCTTACACTCAATTTCCACTTATGTCTTTGTGGACTGGTAACACACCATACTTTGAGTGGCTGTGGAGAGAGCGTAGGATGCTGTCCAGGAGCTGGTTGGGTCTGGGTGGCAGGTGGGCTTAGCCTTGAAGAACAGGGAAGAAGGAATGAAGCAGGAATCCGGGGGCCATGTGAAGGGATAGAGACCCTGAAGGCAACCTTTGAGTACTTCCTAGTTGGGTCTCTGTCTGGCCTTACCTGCCTGACAGGATGTTTCCCTTGCACCCAACACACCCGACTCCATGTATTGTCACCATGCACCTTTTACAAAATACTATGAGGGCCCAGCTTACATCAACGATTAAGTTGATGTGCATGTACGAAATGTCCAGCTAGGACATTTGAAATTGATCATGGAAGAAAATCGCCTTTTTCTGACCTTTTCCAACCAGCCTAGAGACGTTGCCTCCCACTTACGCTGCTGTTTCTTTCTTTGTTAAAGGGAAGATTTCTTGACAGGTATGATCCTGTCTTGGCAGTGGAGGATCATCCAATGCCAGAGGATGGGGCTTTCCTCACTTTCAGAAATAATTCAGAACTCTTTTCTGTGCAGCAAAGTGCTCCTTGGAAAGCAGTGTTTGCTTGTTGTTACAACACTTTGCAGCATAAAGCCTTCTGCTTGGCACGGCTCCTTAACGTCGCTGTAGCCTCTGAGACATCATATTGTGTTGTTGTCAAAGCTAGAAGCAGCATCAGTGCCAATGGGAAAGACGAAGGCTGCGCATCCCTCCCGCAGCATCTGACAGAGCTGCCGGATCAAGACAATTACAGAAGGCGCGGGAGGCATGCGAAGCAATTACCACTTGTGGCGGTAAATGAGTAAAATGTGTTTACAGTAAATCCAAATTTAAGAAATCTTCCTTTCAGAAAGTTCCTTTCTTGGTAGTCATAACAATTGTCAAAACAAATTCATTCTGTTCAGCTTAGCTATGAGGAAAATGGGATTCTGTTTCTATTGGAAAATTTCCACTGTCAGGAGAGGTGAGTCTTTTCTATTTAGGTTTTATGGATTTGCACGTACAGGCTTTGTTCTTCTGGATTTTTTGTAGCACCTAAATTAAAAACAACAAAAATAGGGATGGAATCTACCTCCTCACCTTAAATCCAAAAACATTGATGCACTATATATAAAAAAACAGACATTGGACAACAGGCCACCTACAAGTGACCCTGAGAAGGGACACAAATTATTCGGGCCCTTCAAATGCCCAGTTTACTGCCTGGAGCTGGTTTCCAGATTGCAATGCAGGAGCGGTGTATTAATCAGGTTTCTCCAGAGAAACAGAACCAATAGGATATATATATATATATATAGAGAGAGAGAGATACAGGTACATGAGAGGAGATTTATTATGGAGATTGGCTCAAATGATTATGGAGGCCGAGGACTTCTAGAACATGCTATCTGCAAAGTGGAGAACCAAGGAAGGTCAGAAGCACAGTTCAGTGTCAGTCAAAAGATCTGAGAACCCAGGGGAGTGATGGCGTACCTCTCAGTCTGAGGCTGAGGGTTTGAGCAACTGGGGGACCACTGGTGCCAGTCCCAGAGTTCAAAGGCTGGAGAACCTGGAGTTCTGAAGTCCAAGAGCAGGAGAAGATGGGTGTTCCAGCTCAGAGACAGAGAGAGATTGCACAGATTCCCCTTCCCATTTTGTTCTGTCTGGGCCTTTAGCTAATTGGGTGGTGCCTGCCCACACCAAGTAACAGCAGATCTTCCTTGGTCTCCCTGATCCGAGGGATGGAGTTCTGAATCTGGGGCAGCTAAGGAAGCAACGACTGGTGGGACAGTACTAGAGAGGAAAGAGCTACACATAGAACTTTGGAGCTCTGCAGAGGAACCTCTTCAAGTCTTCATCTGAGTTCCAATCTGCTCATGCTTGTGGGAATACTAGCTGAGGGCAGGGAAAGAGCCACCCGAAAGGAATAGGCAAAAGAATCCCCAAAGTTCACACAGGGCCGAGAACAGTTCCTGTTCTCACCAGCCAGTGGGGAAAACCTTGCCATACACTGGACATTGGGTATTACCTTAGTAGTGGAGTAAAATTAGCTCTAGGCTAAAGGCTGTATGGTCCTACCAAACAAAACTTAAAAGCAGTCCTGAAGGTTCAAATTATTGCTAAGTAATTTAACTACATCCCACCACAAAGTTCATGAATAACGGGCATACCTTGTTTTATTACGTTTTGCTTTACTGTACTTGACAGATACTGAATTTTTTATAAGTTGAAGGTTAGTGGCAACCCTGCATTGAACAAGTCTATAAGTGCCACTTTCCAATAGCATGTTCACTTCATGTCTCTGTCATATTTTAGTAGCTGTTGCAATATTTCAGATTTTTTCATTATATCTATTATGGTGATCTGTGATCAGTGATCTTTGATGTTACTGTTGTCATTGTTTTCGGGTGCCATGAACTGTACCCTTATAAAGTGGCAAACTTAACTGATGAATGTGTGCTCTGACTGTTTCACCAACTGGCTGTTCTTCCATCTGTCTCCCTCTCTTCAGGCCTTCTTATTTCCTGAGACACAACAACATTGAAATTAGGCCAGTTAACCCTACAATGGCCTCTGAGTACTAAGTGAAGAGAAGAGTCATACATTTTTCACTTTAAATCAAAAGCTAGAAATGATTAATCTTCATGA